GAGCCCAGAGCCCAGGGGCTGGGGCGGAGCACCGCTCGGGGTGGGGGAGGAAGGTGGGCTCTGAGGCTCCCACACACCTCGTCATCCCACAGTCCTAAGATTGAATCACTAACACTTTTGGGACCACCGGGGTTGGTGGCAGGAGGAACATAGGACCGGTCGTGAAGGCGGGGAGTAGGGACAGCCAAGGCACGCGGTCCAGCGGCCAGGCCTCCCCCACCGGCCCGGGCCGGCCCTTCAGTTCCGGTGTCTACCAGTCCAGGCGTGTGGCCCTGGCGCCTTTGCCAAGAGGAAGGCATGTAAATGAAGGGCCATCAGATCAGACGGGCCGCCGCACTGAGTGGGGGGCCAAGCACTCGGCTCCCCTGCAGTGGGACCCCAAGTGTCGCTTCTGCATTCTTCGTGGGGCTCTTCCATGTCCCCGCACCCCACCTCCTCGGCTGCCCCGGTCAACAGCACACCTGACTGTGGGTGGTCTATGCCGCTTCCTGTGACATCGCTTCCGAGCGTGACGGTGACGGATGCCACCCCTGCTGCACCTCGGCCCGAAGGGGCTGAGTCGGGCCACGCGGCTCAGACGCGGGGGTGACAGCCCCCTCTTCCTCTCCTCCCGCCCAAGGTCATCCCAGCCCTGCCTCTCAGAGCTGCATCAGGCTGCCTAAAGTCACCCTCCCTGCTAAGTCTTGTCCTGCTCCCGAGAGCCCGGGGCCAGCCTGGGCCAGGTCCCCTGAGCAGAGACCGGAGTGGGCCTGGTGGCTGCGTGGCAGCTGGGCAGAGAGTCATGGACATGAGGGAGGAGGGAGCCTTCCAGACTCTGCCAGCCCCAGGACAGAGACAGGCGTTGGGGTCTGGCCTGACCTCCGGCTCACCCGGGCTTCCTCCGGGCCCAGCAGGGGTCTTTGAAATGTGCCCAGGCCGGACCTGGCTCTGAGGGCCTCGGGGGTGGCGAGTCAGCAGCAGCTTAAGTGGACAGAGTTCCCTCCGGCACTCCGGTGGCTGCCAGGCCAAACAGCCCAGAGGGCGCTGCTCGGGGGCTGCTGTGAGCCCCGTGGCCCTGGATGTCTGTTCCAGCTCCTGCTAAAGGACCAGGACCGACCTCCCTGAGCCCAGAGCCCAGGGGCTGGGGCGGAGCACTGCTCGGGGTGGGGGAGGAAGGTGGGCTCTGAGTCTCCCGCACACCTCGTCATCCCACAGTTCTAAGATCAAATCACTAACACTTTTGGGACCACCGGGGGTGATGGCGGGAGGAACATAGGACCGGTTGTGAAGGCGGGGAGTAGGGGACAGCCAAGGCACGCGGTCCAGCGGCCAGCCCTCCCCCACCGGCCCGGGCTGGCCCTTCAGTTCCGGTGTCTACCAGTCCAGGCGTGTGGCCCTGGCGCCTTTGCCAAGAGGAAGGCATGTAAATGAAGGGCCATCAGATCAGACGGGCCGCCGCACTGAGTGGGGGGCCAAGCACTCGGCTCCCCTGCAGTGGGACCCCAAGTGTCGCTTCTGCATTCTTCGTGGGGCTCTTCCATGTCCCCGCACCCCACCTCCTCTGTCTCCATCTCTCTTTCTCTCTGTCTCTGTCTCTTCCCCACCCCTCACAATTTGGGAACCGTGGCTCGGATTGGGAAGGCCCCACCTTTCTCCCTGTCTGTGCCCTGCAGGGTGAGGATGATGATAGCACTTGAGGTGGGGTGGGGGTCAAGGGCGATGACAGCTGCTGGGTGAACTTTGGCAGGTGTCTCCCGTCCCCCACGCAGCATTTACCTGTAGGAGGAGACTTGGTCCCCGCCCAGGGGAATAATTCTGTGCTTACAGAGTGAGAATGCCCGGAGGTGGGCGCCTTGGGCTCCTAGCTGGGTGGGGACGTTGCTGGTTGGCCGTTCACAGACCATTATGGCATCTTCAAAGGACTCAGTAGGCCAGCTGGCAGGGCCCAAAGGCAGGATGTCCCAGCCCACTCCTTGTGCCTGAAGCCCTGCGCTGGGCCGGGCTACGTGGGGTCAGCACAGCGTGGGCGCCCATGTCCTCCGTCCTGCCCTGCTGACCAGAGGCCCTGTGCCTGCCCAGCCTGCAGGCCCTCGGGTGCATGTGCCCATGTCGTCCGCATGTCCTGGGCCCCGAAGGGGAATGTGGGGCCATGTAACGGGCCTATGCCGGCCATGCGGGTGGTGACACCACTCACGGAAGCTGAGGGCTCCCTGCTTGGAGCATTCTGGGCAGCCGCTGGGTCCCGGCACTGTGACCGTCCCTGCCTATTGTCCCTGCACCCGCAGACTGTCGTAACGTGCTCTCCCGGAGCGAGTTTGCCCAGAGTCACGGTGCCCACATGGGTCATGCCCTTCCTGTCCTGCCCCCTCCGTCTGCAGCCTGGCACTGCCCTCTGGCCACAGGACTCAGTCTGAGAGCCCTGGGGGACCATCAGCAGGGAGGCGGTGGCCCAGCCTGGTAGTCACCAATGTGATAGCTGATGAGCAAATGACCCTCCGCCTGGTGGGCGGTTCCCCCTCGGGCCTGGTGGGCGGGCGCGGCTGCGGGCGGGTGTGCCACGTGCTGCCAGCCTGCTTAATGATGCCAGCCTGTGCCTGTTCTGAGCACCCACGGGGAAGGATATAAGCCCAGGGCCCGGGGCCGTGGCCCCTGCGTTTTGGGGGAGCTGGCCCTAGCCACTCACTCGCTGGACATGAAGGGCACTGCGCTCGCCGCCCTGCTGGGGCTCTGCGTGTCGCTGGCGGCTGGCAAACAGGACGTGGTGCTGAAGGGACTTGATTTTGTCAAGGTGCTGGCTCTGGGCGCCTGCCGTGGGGGGCCCACCCCACCCCGAACACCGGGAGTCCCCCAGAACCCTCCCCGGAGCCCCCGCCAGCTCTGCAATGCGGGGCGCTGTGCACTTGTGGGGGGCGCCCCTGGCTGGAGGCCCGCGCTCCTGAGGCAGACTCCCTGTGCCCCCAGTTTTCAGGCCTCTGGTATGAGATTGCTTTTGCCTCCGAGACGGAGCCCCTGGGCTCAGCCCAGAAGGCGAGAAAGGTGGGGGCCGTGGTGGTGGAGCCGGACGGGAGCCATTTGGCCCTGACCACTGTCTATGACAAGTGAGTGGGGCGCTCCCTGGTCACGTCCCCACCCACACGGTCACCCTTCCTGGATGATGGTTTTGGGCAGAGGGATGCTAAGGGTAGACCCCTCCAGGGAAGGGGCCCTCACTCCCTCCTCAGACAGTTCGTGAGTGAACTCCGACCTCCGGCTCTGCCCCGGGACCCCTCCCCTGCCAGGTGTCCGCCCTGCGCACAGAGCCTGTGCCGTGAGGGCCTGGGGGCCCGCGCTCGCAGTCCTGTCTGCTGGCTCGTGCGCATGGCCTGGCCCACCTCCTCTTGGACACGCATGTGGCCGGGGAGCGGGGGGTGCGGGCACTCTTCCAGGGCGGACGGGGCCTGCTGTCTGGGGGCTCCCTTGTCCCGGGCGCCCGGCTGGCAGGCACCTGTGCTCTCCAGCAAAAGCCTCTGCGTGAAGGAGAAGAGCCTGGCCCAGGAGGGGGACACCCCTGGCACGTTCAGGGTTGCCAAGGACACCGGTAAGGGGCCCCGCCCCCCGCAGGGGTCAGCGCCGGCCCCCCGATGCTCGGCCCCCATGTCAGGATGGTGCCCAGCAGGCCGGATTCAACGGGGCGCCTTGTCCTGCCTCTCTGGGCCCCTCCTCAGCCCACGCCAGTCTTGGAGGGTCTGGGAGGGGGACAACCCCACTCTCTCCTGGGGGGACTCAGCCTCGGCATGGCGGCACTCCCGATCACCCCAGGCCAGAGCCCTCAGCATGCAGCTCCATGC